AGTGTCGAGAAAGAAGCTGCTCTTTCTCAGAAATATTGAAGATGATAGAATAGCTAAGCTATTGCTCCAAGACCATTTTTAATTTTGACGAAACAAAGTTCTTCTGGATAAAGATGCAAGGTAGTATGTTTGTAGCTCACGAGGAAAGAACATATCGTGGATTTTAAGCTGCAATATATCGGCTCACTATGATACTTAGTTACTTAGTGATATTGCTACCAGTCTATTAATCCGAGAGCTCTAAGGTTTTGAATAATAAGTTCAGATAGGGAAATCCAACGCAAAGACGGGTCACTGCTTCTGTCTTTGAAGACTGGTTTGGCCCCCATGTCTCATCTCTGAGGCCGAGCGCTATTGCTGCTCTCTGTATCTACCTATCAGCGTATGCTAATTCTCAACATTGCTTCAGCAGCTCAGGACTTCGATCCTCGAGTGAAGGTAGTTTTTTGTTGTTTGTGCCGTCAAACAAGTTTGATTCAACCACTGAACTAGCGTGTAATTAAAGCGTTTGAGACTTAATATTACCGACGAACCTTTGCCTATTTGAATGTATCTATGAAGCAAAACAACGATATTCCTGAAAGATTACTATTAGGGTTTTAGTGTTCTGGATGTAGTGAGGATCATGGGAGACTCATCGGCTGAAGTTAGCAGAAGAACAATGAGCGGCGTATGGAATAAGTTATATAAGTTCTGATTTAGTCAGAACTTGATCTCAGCTACAGAAATTCATCACTTATAGAAAGCAGCAGAAGTGATCCCTCCTGCCTCACCACACTCTTTGACGGTTAACGCTAAAGATGTCATAGAGCTATTGGGCTCCAGTAGCGAAGAGCTCAAGTACATGATATCAAGATATCATAGAAATTAATGATCAAAATGCTGTTGAATCAGCTGAAGAGGCTGACCTGAAACGGATCGCTACGGCCTTGAATTGTTTGAGATCGGTCTGAAAGTTCTGGAAGACATCGATTCGAATGAAAACCGAGTAGCAACTGCTAGACAAAACAAAAAATGATCCCCTGTTGCGAAAAGTTTTACGGGAGAAAGAATAGTTTTTATCCCGCTGAATTTTCTACTAGACTTCCTAAAAGCATGCTTCTTTAATGAAAAATTGTCGTTATGTTATTTTATTTTACTTAATGTATATTTTTTGCAATAAAGACGTTATAATTCGCACAAATGTCGCATTTTACTGATCAAACTGATTCTGACGAACCAATTATGTCAGTTTAGTATGGAATTGTATAAATTTTTGTATTGAAT